CACCTCGTTTCCCAAAGTCACCGCCAGCTGCCCCCCGCAGCAGCAACTAAAGAATTTAAAAAGACAAAGTCTCCCCACCGATCCCAAAGCCGATCCCAAGACGATCCCGAGACGATCCCAGGCGAGGGCGGAGACGATCCCGGTGTGGGGTGTGGGGTGTACGTACACCCCAAACCCTTTTTTAGGGTTTGAAACCCTCAACAGCGTTAAGGCTTTCCTCGAGTAAAACCCCAAGTAATCCCCGCAGGGACTTTTGCTCAGCAGCGGAGCAGAGTCGCAGGAATAAACCCGCAGCTGCAAACACGCAACAAACCCTAAACCCTAAACCCTAAACCCTAAACCCTAAACCCTCATTGCTGAAGGCTAAACCTTGAAGCCTAGATGCGAAGTCCACTGCAATAAATTCAAACAGTAATACCAGGAGCTAAACCCTGACAGTGAGGCGCAAAAAGCAAACCCTAAACCCCAAACCCCAAACCCCAAGCCCTAGACCCTAGACCCTAAACCCTAAACCCTAAACCCTAAACCCTAAGCCCTAAAACCTAAACCCTAAACCCTAAATGCCTCACTACATTTCCCTCCAAAGAGAGCAAAAGCACTTCAGCCCCACAAACGCATGCAATTATTTCCTTTTGTATTTCAAGACTTGTCACTGGGGCTTTGAACCTGCGGTGTACGTACACCTCAGAGCTGCAGCAACGGCCTTTCGCCAAACAGTAACTCCCAAAAATCAGCACTCCACAGCAGCAGCAGCAGCAGCAGCAGCAGCAGCAGCAGCAGCAGCAGCAGCAGTACAGTGCTGCTACCACTAAAAGGGATTCTGAGCATTCGAAGCGCATGCATGCAATTGCATGCAGAGCCCCAAAAGTGCATGCATGCAAATTTGCATGCACCCGCTCCCATGCCCTCAAAGCCCCGAACCCAATTAGAAATAGACGCATGCACACACGCATGCATGCATGCATGCACACACGCATGCATGCATGCATGCATGCATGCATGCATGCATGCAAAGCCCCACCTGGCCAACGTGCGCGGGGCTGGGGCTTTGGTGTCTCTTTGGAGGCAGCAAAGAAGTATTAAGCCGCAGCGGTGGCCAGAAAGAACAACAGCCCCGTCTTCTGTGCATGCAATGCTCGTCACGGGGCTGCATGCGCACATGCATGCACGCATGCACACATGCATGCACACATGCATGCATGCATGCATGCAGACATGCATGCATGCATGCAGACATGCATGCACACAGCGTGCAAGCATGCATGCATGCGTGCATGCATGCATGCATGCATGCATGCATGCTTGCTTGCATGCAGACATGCATGCATGCATGCATGCATGTGCCTTTTGCTGTGAAGTGCCTTTTTTTTAGCAGCTGAGAGTTGTGTCGAAGTCCCAAACATTTGATTTTCATTTAATTCATTTTTGGAATTTTTGATTCATTTGAAGTTCCTTTTAGAGAACTTTAAACATTTAATTAATTCCGGAGTCTCGCAAATTAATTAATTTTTATTTTCCAAAAAGCTAAAATGGCCTTAAATGGCATAAATGGCAGCGGCCTAAAGGGCCCTTGCATGCAAAAGGGCTGCAACTTTGGGGCTTTTTGCATGCAGCAAACCCCACCTCGCTGCTGCATGCAGCAGCCCCAACTTGTTGCTGCGGGCAGCAGCAGCAGCAACTTGGCCATTTAAAAGTCCCAAAAAAAGAAAAGAGTTTTTCTTCGGGGCCCAACAAAGGCAAGTGGGGGGGGCCCCCAAGGGCAGTCTGCAGCAAACGCGGGGGGCCCCCCCCCGCGTTTGGGGGGCCCCCCCAGGGTACTTTGGGGTCTCTTTTTTTCCGCTTTTTTGGCCCGGGGGGCCCCCCGGGGGGCCCCCCGGGGGGCCCCCCTCCTCCCCCGCTGCTGCTGCTGCTTCTTCTCCTCTTTTTTCCCCTTTTTTGGACTCTTTTTCGAATTCTTTTGCCACTTTTTTTGTTTCTTTTTCCAAACTCTCCCGCAGCAAATACACAAATGCCACTCCGTCGCTCTGGCTCACCGCCAGCAAACAGCCGTCCCCGCTAAACGCCACGCCTGCGCAGCAGCAGCAGCAGCAGCAGCAGCAGCAGCAGCAGCAGCAGCAGCAGCAGCAGCGTAAGAAGCTAAGCAGCGGCAGAAGCAGCAGCTAAAAACAGCAGCAGCAGCACCTGAAGTGCAAAAGCAAGTAGCAATAAACCAGCAGCAGCAGCAGCACCAATGCTGGAGCAGCAGCAGCAGCAACACCAAAGCAACAGCAGCAGCACTAAAGCAGCAGCAGTAGCAGCAGCAACACTAAAGCAACAGCAGCAGCAGCAGCACTAAAGCGCTACCAGCAGCAATAAAGCAAAAACAGGAAAGCTAAAATCGCAGTAGCAGCAGCAGTGGCGGCATTAGCAGCAGCAGCAACAGAGCAGCAAAAGGAACGCCAAAACAGCAGCAACAGCAGCACTGCCAGCAGCAGCAGCAGCAGCAGCAGCAGCAGCAGCAGAAAGACCCTTACTAACCGGTGATCAGGGGTAGGGGGCCCCCCTTATCTGCTACTCTTGCTACAAATGCTTCTTCAGTTCCTGGGGGCCCCCCAAGCAGCCTTAGGGTACGGTCAGCTGTTGCTGAGCAAATTTGGGGCCCCCAGGGGCCCCCCTGGGGGCCCCCCTGGGGGCCCCCCTGGGGGCCCCCCTCGGGGGGCCCCTGAGAGGCCCCCTGGGGGGCCCCCTGGAGGGGCTCCTCGGGGGGCCCCTGAGGGGGCCCCCAGGGGGCCCCCTGGCAGCAGGCAAGAGCTGTTACGCTGTTAAGGCCTTCTGAAGGGCCCTGGAGGGTTTGGAATTGGATTACTAGGGGTTGGTTGCTGCTGCTTGCTTCAGCAGCAGCAGCAGCAGCAGCAGCAGGAAATGCAGCAGCAGCAGCAGCAGCTGGAAGCTTGTCTTCTTCTGTTTGCAGAAAGGACATGCAAGAAGACACAGGTGGAGCTGCAGCAGCAGCAGCAGAAACCGACGCTGCTGCCGTCATAGTGCAGCGCCTAAACCCTAAAGCCTCAAGGGTTTAGGGTTTAGGGTTTAGGGTTTAGGGTTTAGGGTTTAGGCGAGGGCCCGTTCCGGGCTAATGGGGTAAAAACAAACAAAATTATAATTTTGAATTAAAGGAATTCATTAGTGCAGGAAAGAAGAAGAACTGAAAGTTAGAACTGCGGTGTCTGTACACCTGAAGCGCTGCGGCTGCGGCTGCTGCCAGATCTGGCGCCTCTGCGGGATAAAATGGAAATAAAAACGAATTAATTTATTTAATTTATTAAAATTAATAAAACAAACTATTTATTTCAAACAAACGAACAGTTTTAACTGCAGCAGCAGCAGCAGCAGCAGCAGCAGCAGCGGAGGTCACTTGCGGTGTGCAGTTACACCGAAACACCCGCAGGCGCCTCGGGCCAATTTTTGCAGTCCTTTTCTTTCAAATGGATTTAAAATTTGTTTATTTTATTTAATTTATTTAATTATAGTGCTTTTGAAACAAAAACTAAGAAATAACTCCGCGAAAGCCCCAGCAGCAGCAGCAGCTGCTGCTGCTGCTGCTGTTGCTGCTGCTGCAGCAGACCGGCGGTGAGCGCAGCAGGTGACCCCACAGACAGTATTACTAGTTCGTTTGCCTTGGGGTTTTCCAGACGGAGAAAAACAATTAAATATATATTTTGGCTAAAATTAAATTAAAGTTTTTATTATTTGTTATTTATTTCCGCATTTATACATCATTTTGCTGCCTTAAAGCCACCGCAGCAGCAGCAGCAAGCCTTTGCTGCTGCTGGTCTTCTTCGGGTGTCTGTACAGCTCTCCAGGTGTCTGTACACCTCTCCAGGTGTCTGTACACCTCACGGGAGCCCCCAGCAGCAGCTCTTTTCTGCTTCCAGCTCTTCTTGTTGGCTCCCTAAACCCTGGAGGGTCTGCTAGTTAAACCCTAAACCCTAAACCCTAAACCCTAAACCCTAAAGGGTGTTTAACTAAACCCTAAAACCCTTTCCATTCTCAAATCCACTTCATTGGCCATGCAGGCAGCAGCAAGCTGCAGCAGCAGACGCAGCACGTTGGGCCCCCAGTGCGCCCCAGCAGCAGCAGCAGCTCCCAGCAGCAGCAGCAGCAGCAGACTGGACGGCGAGCCTGAAGCAGCAGCAGCAGCAGCAGCAGCAGACGCAGCAGCAGCAGCAACAGGGGGCCCCCTGACGGAGACTCAGCAGCTGCTGCTGTGGTCCGCCTCTCCAGAAGCCCTAGAGCTGCAGAGGGCCCCCCAGGGGGGCCCCCAGGGGGGCCCCCCTTGCTCCCCTTCTGAAGCGCTGCTGCACTCTTTAGGGGACAAGGGCCTCCGCAGCCAGCTGAGGGCCCCCCCCTATTTATCTGCTGCTGCTTGGAAGCGGGATTTGCTGCTGCAGTGTCTTGAAGATGCTCGTTTGCTGTTTTCTTGTGTCTGGGATGCATGCAGCTGCAGCAGCATGGGGCTGCCCAGCAGCAGCAGCAGCAGCAGCAGCAGCAGCAGCAGCAGCAGCAGCAGCAGCAGCAGCGGAGACGCAGCAGGGGATGGGGCTCTGGATGCTGCTATTCACTTTGCTGCAGCAACGCAGAGCGCACCCAAGAGAAAGCTGCAGCCTACGAAACCAGAAGCAGCAGCAGCAGCAGAAGAAGAAGCAGCAGCAGCAGCAGCAGCAGCAGCAGCAGCAGCAGCAGAAGCAGCAACAGAAAAGGAAGCAGCGGCCCAAGAAGCAGCAGCAGAAAAATATGCTGGCACCCAAAGTGATAATATATCTAATGATGACAGCCCAGCTACACAAACGACAACAGCAGCACGAGAAGCAGCAGCAGCAGCAGCAGCAACAGCAGCACAAACAGCAGCAGCAGCAGCAGAAACAGCAGCAGCACCTACAGCGCGCGAGTACATATCGGCCACAATGTCTTGGTCTCTGAAGCAACTTGAGGACCCCGGGCTTTTTGCTGCTTCTCCCCCCTCCTCCCCAGCAGCAGCAGCAGCAGCAGCAGCAGCAGCAGCAGCAGCAGCAGCAGCAGCACCGCTGGAGTCTGCTGCTGCTTTGATAGTGCGGCGGCTGCTGCGCTGCTACGCACACATATACCTGTGGCATTTGCTGCTGCTGCAGCAGCAGGGGGCCCTCCCCCACGCCAACCGCTGCCTCAAAAAACTCCTTTTTGCTGCTAAAGATACTTTCCTAGGGGGCCCCCAACAGGGGGGCCCCCCAAGAGGGGGCCCCCCAAGAAGGGGGGCCCCCTCGGGGGGCCCCCTGTCTCCACGGGGGCCCCCGGGGGGCCCCCAGGAGGGCCCCGAGGGGGGCCCCACGGGTGAGGAGGGCCCCCAGGGGGGCCCCCAGGGGGGCCCCCAAGGGGGGCCCCCGGGGGGCCCCCAGGGGGGCCCCCTCATGGGGCCCCTGAGGGTACTGGAAGATGCTTGGTTGAAGTGTGGGGTCGAGGAGGGCCCCTCAGGTGTATGTACACCTGAAGAAGGGGAAAGTGAAGGAGAAAAAGAAACTGAAAATGAAAAAGAAGTAAAAGAAAAGGAGGAAAGAGAAGAGGAATTAAATGGGAAAGAAAGAAATAAAGAAATAAATGAAAAAGAAATAAATGAAAAAGAAATAATCGAAAAAGAAATAAATGAAAAAGAAATAATCGAAAATGAATTCAATGAAGAGCTGCTGCTGCCGGCGCTGCGAAAAGCCGAACTTTGTTTGGGACTTTTGGAAAAAGAAGAATTCCCTTTTTTTGGAATTGCAAACAAATAACAAATAAATAAAACTAATTAACTAAATTAATTAAATTAATTAATTTAATTAAATTAAATAATTAATTAATTGAATTAAATAAATAAATAAATAAATTGAATTAAATTAAATAATTAATTAATTGACACAAAGCGCCAAAAGTCTGCAGCGAAATCGCTGACAGCCGAAAACCCGAAATTTAATTTTTCATTCTTTTATCATTTATCATTTGTTTATTTACTTTTATTTATTTCTTTTTATTTATTTATTTATTTTTATTTATTTTTATTTATTTCTTTTTATTTATTTACTTTCTTATATTCACTGAGACGCGCAGCAAACCCACAAAGGGGACTCAAGAAGTGCAACAGCAGCAGCAACTGCCTAGCAGCAGCAGCAGCAGCAGCAGCAGCGTCTCCTAGCAGCAACAGCAGCAGCAAGTGCCTCCTAGCAGCTGCTGCAGCAGGTGTCTCCTAGCAGCAACAGCAGCAACCGCGAGGTCTGCAGCAGCAGCAGCAGCAGCAGCAAAACTAGTAATACCGAAGCTAATAATGCCAAAAGCTAAGAAAACAATACTACTGATAGCAATAGTACAAATAATAATAATAATAAATAATAATAATAATAGTAATAATAATAATTAATAATAATAATAATAATAATAATAATAATAATAATAATAATAATAATAATAAAATAAAAAACAATAATAAAGCTAAAATGGTAAAGAATTAGTTTCGGTGTTGATAAAAAATAAACAAAAACTCGAAAAAGAAAAAAAGCAAAAGAGACTTTTCTTTTGTCTCCGCAGCAGCTCTTTTCTCTTTTCAAATTTGTCTCTTTTCTTTCTCCCTTTCTCCTTTTTTCTTTACTCTTTTGCAGCAGCAGCAGCAGCAGCAGCAGCAGCAGCAGCAGAAGCAGCAGCTGCTGCTGCTGGCCCCACAGCCAAACAACGTACAGGCTAGCCGACTAGCTAGCTAGCTAGCTAGCCAGCAAGCCAATTATCTATACAGCTAGTCGGTAGGCTAGCCAGCCATCCAGCTGGCTAGCCAGCTAGCTAGCTAGCTAGTTAGCCAGCTAGCTAGCCAGCGAGCCAGCTAGCTAGCCAGTGAGTCAGCTAGCTAGCTAGCCAGCTAGCTAGCTCCTGACGGCCCGCCAGATCCCCTGCCAGCTCGCAAAAACTCCCAGCTAGCCAGCTAGCTAAGGCCAAGCTAGCTAGCTAGCTAGCTTGCCAGCTAGCTAAGGCCAAGCTAGCTAGCTAGCTAGCTAGCGAAGCTCCGAGCCACATATATAAAGTCCGAATTTTCGATTTTTCGACGATTTTGAGTCCTTTTTGTCTGATTTTTTCGCCGCCTGGATCGCCTGAAGTGGCGGTTGTTTGCGGAGACTCTTTGGAGGAAACAGAAGTCCATTTGGAGTTCGATTTGATTAAATTTCGAAAGAAAAAACGAAAAGAAGAGGCGAAGAGAAGCCGCGGGGGCTCAGTCCTCCTGCGCGGCCTCCTCCACCTCGTCCTCAGGCACCCCCGCCTCCACGCGGCCCATGCCCTCGTCTTCTTCTTCTTCTTCTTCTTCCGACTCCGATGGCGAAACTTCCAACAAAAGTTCTTCCAATCGCCGGTCTTCCTCCGACCCCAACACCATTATCTGAGTCCGCAACACAAGCCGAGAAAAACCCACCAAAAACCACTTCTTTAGACGTCTTATTCGTCAACTTCCACACTAAACAATGCATGCATGCATGCATGCATGCAGCCCCAAACGCATGCATGCATGCATGCATGCATGCATTTGCATGCATGCGTGTGGGAAAGCCCCGGAGGTTGGAACTGACTTCTCCTTGTTGTTTGAAGTCCCCGCCTCTGTAGCTCTTGATGGTTTGACTAATGCGGCTAATTGCCTGCATGCAAATATAAAATAAAATAAAATAAAATAAAATAAATCAAATTAAATTAAAATAAATAAAAGATTTAAAATGAGGCCTTTGAAACGCATGCAAGCCCGGGTGTACTGTACGTACACCCGGGAACAGATACACGCGAGCGGCAAAAAAGAAAAAATGAAAAATCAAAAAAAGAATTTAAAGGAATAAAAAAGAAATAAAAAAGAATCAAAAAAAGAATTTAAAAGAAAAGATAAAAAGAGACAAAAAGGAGATTTAAAAAGAGACAGAAAGAGCCACTTCAAGAGACAAAAAGAGAAAAGCGAGAAACAAACAAACGAGAAATAAAAATGAAAAATAACTGAGAAATAAACAGAAGAGAAATAAACAAAAGGCAAATAAATAAACGGGAAATGAACAAAAGAGAAATAAACAAAAGGGAAATAAACAAAAGAGAAATAAATAAGAGAAACAAAAGAGAAATAAACAAAAGAGAAACGAACAAACGGGAAACAAAAAAGAAACAAAAAAGAAAGAAAAAAGAAACAAAAAGAAACAAAAAGAGCCAAAGAAGGACCTGTTGGATCTTCTGCATTCCGGATTCTTTGTCGAAAGAAGAAGTGACAACAACATATTGCGGAGGAGCAATAAGTTTGACGGCAATGTCCTGCGTTTGGGGTGTATCGACACCTCGCTCGGGTGTATCTGCAGCTTTTTCGGGTGTATCTGAAGCTTCTTGGGGTGTATCTGCAGCTTTTTCGGGTGTATCTGCAGCTTTTTGAGGTGTATCTGCAGCTTTTTGGGGTGTATTGGCAGCTTTCTGAGGTGTATTGGCAGCTTTTTGAGGTGTATCGGCAGCTTTTTCGGGTGTCTCGGCAGGTTTTTCCTTCGCGGCGAGGAGCGCCTTTTTCACGGCGTCAATTCCGTCTTTTCCGAAACACCAAACGTCAATGCGAGCTCTGAAACACAAAGGTCCATTTGAACCCTTCAAAACCCTTTTCTAGGGTTTAAAACCCTCTTTTAGGGTTTAAAACCCTTTTTTAGGGTTTAAGACCCTTTTTAAGGGTTTTAAAACCACTTTAAAGGGCTTAAACGCGTGAAGAAACCCTTGTCCTTTTGAAGCTCCAAGGTGGTACATGGAAAGGACAAAAAATAAAACAAAAAGGAGACCAAAAAGAAGAAAAAGAAATTAAAAAGAAGACAAAAAGGAGAACAAAAAGAAGATAAAAAGAAATTAAAAAGGAGACAAAAAAGGAGACAAGAGAGATTAAAAAAGAGACCAACAAAGGCAAAAAAAGAGCACCAAAAGGAACCAAAAAAGCAGACAAAAAGGAAACAAAAGCGGAAACAAAAGTGCAACAAAAAGGAGAGAAAAAGGAGACAAAAATGAGACAAAAAGAGACAAAAAAGGAAGAAAGAAATGGAGAAAAAGAGACAAAAAAGGAAGAAAGAAATGGACAAAAGGAGACAAAAGGGGGACCCAAAAAGGGCCAGAAAAAGCGCCAAAAAGAGAAAAAAAAGAAAAACAAAAACGGAGACAAAAAGGGCCAAACAAGGGGCCAAAAAGGGACAGCAAAAGTGCCCAAAAGGAGACAAAAAGGAGTCAAAAAAGAGACAAAAAGAGACAAAAAAGAAGAAAATAAAAAGAAAATAAAAAGAAAAAAGACCTGAGTTTGAGGGCCTGGGGGGCGAGGCGGAGCTGGATGTCCTGGATGAGGGACTTTTTGACTTCCTCGGAAACCTCCAAACCCCCGAAAACCTCCTCGGGGTCCAGCGCGGCTGCCTGCGTCGTTTGGAGCCGAAAAAAGCCCAAAAGAGACCAAAATGAAGCTCCGGAGACTCCGCATTCAATGCAGTTGGACTCGGCAGAATTTAATTCCAAAAAAGCAAAAAAAAAGAGCCAAAAAGGAGCAAAAAGGAGCAAAAAGAAGCAAAAATACGAAAAGCAGTAGAGGGACGAAAAAGGCAAAAAAAGGCGAAAAAAGGAAATAAAAAGAGAAACAAAAAGGAAATAAAAAGAGCAATAAAGAGGAAATAAAGAGGAGAGGAAGAGGGAGCGGAAAGGAGACAAAAAGGAGAGAAAAAGGAGCAGTTTTGGGGACTTTAAGGACGCGATTTGGACGGAAAAACCCCAAAAGCGCCAGACAAGCCCCCCCAGTTTGCCCCCCCTTTAACGCAGGGCCGCGACGGCCGCCGCGGCCGCGGGGCCGCGAGCCGGCGCGCGGGCTGCAACACGAGAGGGGCGAAGGAGAAAGGAGACAAAAGGAGACAAAAGGAGACAGAAGGGGAATTTTGAAAGGCAAGGAGACTTCAAAACACTTTCTAAGTCCCAAATTCAAATTCCTCTTCGAAAATGCTGCCCGCCGCTGCCTTTCCCGCCTCCCAACGCCCCAAACTCGCACCAGCAGCAGCAGCAGCAGCAGCAGCAACAGCAGCAGCAGCAGCAGCAGCAGCAGCAGCACCACACCAGCAGCAGCAGCACCACCACCACCCCCTCCACCACCACAGCAGCAGCAGCAGCAGCAGCAGCAGCAGCAGCAGCAGCAGCAGCAGCAGGACCTTGAGGGCGTCGAGGGCGTGTCCGTATTTTTTGTAAAGAGGCCAAATGACTTTGGCATTTAATTCATCAACTCCCAAGTTGTGTTTTAATGCCACATGCCGAACTGTCTGGTGAACTTTCTTCCCCTTCGAGTACCTCTCCTCGCACTTCACTATGTCCTCAGGCGACACCCTGCAGCAGCAGCAGCAGCAGCAGCAGCAGCAGCAGCAGCAGCAGCAGCAAGAGCATCACACCCCACCCCCCC